AATTTATCCATCTCAGGGAAGCACCCTAAACTACCATCATGGGAAACCCATAATATACCATCATCATGGGAACACCTAATACCTTTCCTCTGGGAAACACCATAATACTACCATCATGGGAAAGACCACAATTCTACCATCATGGGAAACCCCCATAATACTACCATATCATGGGAACACCTTTTTTTTACCCTCAGGGAGAAAACCTAAACTCCCTAGGGGAAACACCAAATAATACTACCATCATGGGAAGCACCATAATATACCCTCATCATGGGAAGCACCATAATACTCCTATCTTTGGGGGAAACACCTAATATACCATCTGGGAAGCACCATAAAACTACCAATGGGAAGCACCTAATACTCCCATCAGGGAAAACACCATAAAACTACCATCATCTGGAAGCACCTAATACTCCATATATGGGAAGCACCATAATACTACCTCATCTTGGGAACCCATAAACTACCATCTCATGGGAAGCACCAAATATACCATCATGGAAGCCCCCATAAATAAACTATACATGGGAAAGGGGCCCCTAATACACCATCAAACATGGGAAGCACCACAATAACCATCATGGGAAAAAACACCACAATACTACCATATGGGGGAAACCTTATACCATCATCATGGGAAGACCCCTAATACTCCCATCATCATGGGAAGCACCATAAAAAACACCATTTGGGAACACCATAAACTACCCAAAGGGAAGCACCATAATACTACCATCATGGGAAGCACCATAATACTACCATCCTTTAGGGAAGCACCCTAATTTAAAACCATCATCAGGGAAGCACCATAATACTACCACAGGGGAGACCATAATCTACCATCAAGGGAAGCACCATAAACTACCATCACTGGGTCACCATAATACTACCCTTTATGGGAAAGCACCATAACTAAAATCATGGGAACCCCCAAAAACTACCATCATATGGGGGCACCCTAATATCCATCATCATGGGGGGACCTAATTACCTCATCATGGGGAAACACCCTAAAATAATCCATATGGGAAGCACCTAAACCCACCCTCACAGGGGAAACCCATAATACTAAATCATGGAAGCCCATAATACACCATCATCATGGGAAAAACACCATAAAACTACCCTATCAGGGAAACACCATAATATACCATCATGGGAAGCACCATAATTACCATCATCATGGGAAGACCATAAAACACCACATAGGGGGAAACAACAAATACAACCCTCATCATGGGAAGCACCCTAATATACCTCATGGGGAAACACCCTAATATACCCTCATCATGGGAAACACCAAAAAAACTACCATCATGGGAAGCCCATAATATACCCTCACGGGGAAGCACCAAATTTTCTACCCCATCATGGGAAAACACCCTAATACCCATCAGCGAACAAACCCTAATATACCACCATCATGGGGAAGCACCTAAAACACCACATATGGGAAGCACCATAATTTACCATCATGGGAAGCACCTAATACTCCAAAACTGGGGAAGCCCATAATAAATACCATCATGGGAAGCACCAAATACTCCATCTCATGGGAAGCACCATAAAACTACCCCCATCAATTTCCCCCATTGGGGAAGCACCATAATACACCCCCTCATGGGAAGACCAAAACCTTATAAAACCCTCCATTCATGGGAAGCACCATAATACTACCACATCATGGGGAAACACCCATAAAATACCTTTGGGAACCCCCAAAAAAATTTCTACCAATCATCAGGGAAGCACCATAATACACCAATCATGGGAAGCACCATAATCTACCATCATGGGAGCAACCCCCAATACTACCCATAAACATGGGAAACACCATAATACTACCTAAAAGGGGGGCACCATAATCTACCTTCTATGGGGAAGACCATAATATACCATCTTGGGGAAAACATATTTCTACCAAGGGCACCTTTAACACCAAATTAAAACCTTCTTCATCATGGGGAACACCATAAATACCATCTGGGAAGCCCTAAACTACCACATCTGGGAAAACCCCATAAAACTACCCTCATGGAAGCCCATAATACCCACATCAGGGGAACACCAAAAAACTACCATCTCAGGGAAGCACCTAAAAACTTTCCAAAGGGGAAACCCATAATACTTACCAAATTTATGGGAAAACCATAATACTACCATCATGGGAAGCACCAAAATACACCACATCATGGGAAAAACACCATAATACTACCATCATGGGGGCAATAATACTTTACCCCTCATGGGGAAACCCCAAAAAATAACAAACACATGGGAAACACCCAAAAACTACCCCTCATGGGAAACACCCTAAAAACCACATAAAGGGAAGCACCATAATACTACCATCAGGGGAAACCCATTATATACCTCATGGGAAACCATAAAAACTACCATCATCTGGGAACACCTAATACTACTCATGGGAAAGCACCATAAAAACTACCATTGGGGAAACAACCCCAAAAACTCCATCTCATGGGAAAGCACCAAATAAACCATCTGGAAAACCATAATATACCACATGGGAGCAATTTTTACACCAAATTGGGGGCACCAATATACCAATATGGGAAGCACCTAAACTACCATCATGGGAAACACCAAATCTACCAAAAACAGGAAGCACCATAATACCCCAAAACTAAACCCCAAATCCATCATGGGAAACACCCTAATCTACCCATGGGAGCCCATAATTACCAAATCTATGGGAAGCACCATAATAATACCAATCATAACACCATATAAATACCATTCTGGAAGGAAAAAAAATATACCTCAAATTGGGAAAAACCCCAAAAACTACCAAAAGGGAAGCACCTAATACTAAAAACCCCTCATGGGAAAACACCCCATAATACTACCATTTATGGGAAGCCCATATTACAAAAATCATGGGAAGCACCATAATACTACCATCATCATGGGATAGCACTCCATAATACTACCAATCATGGGAAGCACATAATACTACCATATGGGAAGCACCATAATAACTACCATCATCATGGAAGCGCCATAATACTACCTTCCTTCATGGAAGCACTCATAATACTTACCATCATGGGGAAAGCACCATATAATACTCCATCATATGGGAAGCAATAATACTTAACATCATGGGAAGCACCATAATACTACCAATCATGGATATCACCTATAAGTACTACATCATGGGAAGCACATAATATATACCATTCCCCTCCCCCTGGGAAGCACACATAAAACTCCATAATGGAAGCACCATAATTCTACCATCATGGGTATGCGCCATAATACGATCATCATGGAAGCCCCAATAATACTACCTTCAGGAAGCCACCATAATATACCATCCTTGGGAAGCACCATAATACTACCATCATGGGAAGCAATCATAATACTACAGATTACTTTTTTCGTCCCTATCTTCATTGCCTTTCCCTTTCTTCTTCTTTATTCCTTGTCTCCTTCCTCCTTTCCTTATCCTCTCTCTCTCTCTTCTCTCTCTCTCTCTCTCTCTCTCTCTCTATCTCTCTCTCTCTCTATCTCCTCTCTCTCTTCTCTCTCGCATCTACCATACTTCTACTCTTTCCGTCTTCCCCTCTTCCTCCTCTTCCCTCCTCTTCCCTCCTCTTCCCTCCTTCTTCCCATCCTATTATACTCTCGTTGTCAGTATTATTCTTCTTGTTATCCTTACTTTACTCCGCTTCTTTGTCTCGAACTTTTTTTTCTCTCTCTCTCTCTCTCTCATTCTTTTTTTCTTTTTTCCCTATTATGTCACATTGTTACTTGGCTTTCAAGTGACCCTCTCTGTGGAGGGAGGGGGGTGGACGTGGGAGAGGATGGATGGAGAGCACGTGGGAGAGAGTGGGGATGGAGAGACGGTGGGGAAAAGGGGAGAGGGTGAGAGGACGTGGGAAAGATAGGGGGAGGAAAGAGCGGGAAGGAGGGAGGGGAGCCGTGGGAGAGAGGGGATGGAGAGACGTGGAGAGAGAAAGGGAGGAGAGGCGTGGGAGAGAGTGAGGGAGGGAGAGAGTGGGAGAGAGAAGGGAGAGAGGGGACGTGGTGAGAGAGAGAGACGGGAGGAGAGACGTGGTGAGAGAGTGAGGGAGGAGAGACGTGGGAGTGAGAGGGAGGAGAGACGGTTGGGAGAGAGAGGCTTTGTTTATACACCACGGGCAATTACTATGGGAGTTCTGCTAAAAAAAAAAGAAAAAAAAAAAAAAAAAAAAAAAAGTCGAGAAAAAAAAAAGACGTCGGAGAGAGAGGGAGGAGAGACGTGGGAGAGAGAGGGGCGGAGGGATAAGACGTGAGGGTGAGGGGAGGGGAGGAGGAAGCGTAGGGAGGGGAATGGGTAGGGGATGGGGTTAACGTGGGAGAAAGAATGGGAAGGGGGGGACGGTTGAAAGGACGCCAAACCAAATTAGTAATAATAATCATAATAATTAATAATAATAATAATTAAATAATAATAATAATAATTAGTTTTAATCATTGTTTCAATTTATTTTTAAATATAATATTTAGTTTTAAACAATGATAATAATTTTAATAACAACTTTAACTAAACTATAGTTTAAATAGGATTCGTATGTAGTAATTAATTACTTTTGGAATAATGATTATTATAGTAATAATTACTTTTAGTAATGATTATTAAATAGTAATTAATTACTTTGAATATAATAGTAATAGTATTAATTTCGTTTAATAATAATTAGTTTTTGTAATAATTTTTTTTAATAATTATGTTAGTATTATTTACTTTAAATAAATAATTAGTTTTGTTATATATTACTTTTAATAATAATTAGCTTGAGTAATAATTACTTTTAATAATAATTAGCTTGAGTAATAATTACTTTTAATAATAATTAGTTTGAGTAATAATTACTTTTAATAATAATTAGTTTGAGTATATAAATACTTTTAATGAATAATTAGTTTGAGTAATTAATTAGCTTTTATATAATCATTAGCCAAAATTATTATAATCTCTGTTACAGGACCAGAGGCGTTCCTAGCCCCCACCCTCCCACTGAGGGGCGTGATGGGCGTGGCCGAGGCGCCCACGATGCAGGGCGTGGGCGTGGACGAGTCTAGCACTGTCTGTCAGGCGTGTGGAGGGCGTGGGCGAGCGCGGGCTGCTCAGGCTTCTCCCTGATGGGCCGCCACGCACCCCAGCAACGACAATTCCTGTTATCTCGTACTCTGGTACAATGATGGAGCTTCGATTCCCCGTTTCCCACGTGGAGTAGGATTGAATCTGGAGTGTGAGTGGATTCGGATGCCTTACTTTATAAGGATTGAAACCCCTTTAAATGAGGAATGTATTTGGAAGGGTTGGTTTCCTTAACTCATGATGTTAATGGGTGGTCCCTTCAAAATTAGGATGCTAGAAGGGATTGAATCCTTTCTTAATTAGAATATTACAGTGTCGAATCTCCTGTATTATGAAGGCCAGTAGGAAAGCGGTTGAACCTCCATTAAGGGTTAAAAGGGATTTGGATCCCTATCCATTAAGGTGCTAGAAGGATTGGAATCCTTTCATTAAGGATGCTAAAAGGGTTGAAATCCTTCCAATTAAAGTGCCAGGAAAATTTGTGATCCCTTCTTTAAGCGAGCTTAAGGGTGATTCCATTTCATTTGATGGTGCTAGGAGGATTGACTCCTTCCATTAAGGTGTTCTACGAATGGGGTTGGATCCTCCTCCCCCTTTTTTTATCTAATTTAGATAAATTTATTACTCTCCAAAAGATTAGACAGTTATCTATAAAATAATTGACTGGCAGGAAACGAAAAAAAAGAGGACAATTAATGAATGAAATGAAGAAAGAAAGAATGAAGGAGCAAAGAGAGATGCGAGGACAAGCTGAATGAGAAGAGTAAAAGATGAGAGAATGGTGGGTGTTATTGTCTTCTGAGTGAGGGACGGGAGGGAGAGATGAGAGAGGGAATGAGGAGGGTAGTGAGGGAAGGAAAGGAATTGGACTAGGAGTGAAAGAGAGTTTAGGAGGTGGGATGTCGATATTTGAGAGGAGCAAGGTGGAGGAGGAGGAGGAGGGAAAGATAGAGGTCAGAAAGATTGCGTTTTATTTTGTTTGTTTGTGTAGCACAGTTACTTCTACAGTGTGGGAGGTTGTGGAAGTTGCATGAATATTTTTCTCTCTCTCTCTCTCTCTCTCTCTCTCTCTCTCTCTCTCTCTCTATCTCATCTCTCTCTCTCTCCTCTATCTCCGTCTCTCACTCATGTCTCTCTTTTTGTTTTTCTCTCTCTCTCTCTCCTTTTTTACACGGGTTTGTACAAGGTTAATTTAAGGATCCTCTACTATCTTTATTACCAAGCTAATTACATAGGTAGGATTCCTAACTTTAAACAAGCTAAGAGCTTGTTACTCTCCTCATCAGTCATTTGAAAGCATTTTTATTGTTTGAGACCATACATAGTAGGGAATCAGGAATGAAAGTTGGAGCCATCTGGGGCCAGCTCATTTTAATTTGATCAACTGACTTATCTCAGTTGACATCATTATGCTGTTCGAATGGGTTCCATATCGACGTTAATCCTGGGTTATATATGATTTCAGATGGAGTGCTGTTCTGGTAGAAGGGTTACTAGCTCAGAGTTACGTTGCTGCTTTCTGCCCGTTCTTCTGTGGCATTAATAAGGCATGATTCACGCTGTCCTTCGAAGTGTATCCAATGTGTGGGCGACTTTGACTATTTGGCTTGGTACATAACAGTAAGGCCACCCACAATCCCTACCTTGTTGTAGGCTCTGCTGAAAATTTGACTGATCCCTATCCAGGATTGTTCCAGGCAAGTGATGAGGACGTTTGCTCTGTTCTCTGACTCTGTCAAGCCAGTCGCTGATGAGGGAAGGGAGGGGGGGAGGCAAACAAGAAAATGGAGCATACCTCAAGATGTGAGCGTACTTGTGCCTCGTACAGTATCTTGCCAAACCCCTTCTGTCAAACAGTATGCGAGATACGCGCGGAATGTGCATGTAAGCTTCCTGGATGTGTTGCATATTTGACGGACGTGGATCTTCATGGTCAGTTTGGTGTCTCAATTCCACCCCCAAGGATATCAAACTTCTTCCCAGATGCCACCACCCTCTCATTTCATCCTTACTTACTGCAACCATTGCATTACATCATCTGGTTCTAGACCATAATTCATGTGTTTTCCTCCGGTGCCAATGTTACTTGCCAATTTATTGTCCCAAGCTGATATAGGCTCTCTAGCTGTTGATGATGTAGTGTATAGTGCAGGCTGGCATTTCTTCTCTTGGATTAAGTGAATTGGTCAGTGTCTCAGTCGTCTGCATATGCATTGTGATTCTGGGATGAGACGAGAAGGGTCATTGAAGTAGACATTCCATAACAATGGGTCCCAAAAGCCCACGCTTCTTGTGGAACACTTGCCTCCAATAGGATGTCTTGTGAAGTTGTTCCATTGTGGAAAGACATAGGGTAGTGCTGCAATTCCAGTGCTTGAAGTTCTGCTAAGAGGCTCTGGTGCAGCAACCGTCTGAAAGCACCAGCAATGTCCAGTGTACTCCACACAGCTGACTTTGGATTCATCAGTGACTGGTGCACTTAGTGGAGCGGTTTAACAACAGATCTAGCAGCAGGAGTAACCTTTCCGAAGCCATATTGTCGATCACAATGTAGATGAGTGTGGTAGTCAAAAAACTCTGTTCATTTGTCTTGAGTTTATTTTCTCAAGATATTGCCAGTGATGACAGAGTGACACTGGTCTGTAGTTCTGATTTCTGCGTTCTGTCTCATCTTTTTTGTGAACAAGGTATCTCTCTCTCTCTCTCTCTCTCTCTCTCTTATCTCTCTTCTATCTCTCTTCTCTCTCTCTCTCTCTCTCTCTCTCTCTCTCTCCTCGCCAATACACACACACAAACCACACTTTAATGAGGAAAGGGAGAGCTTTGAGGAAGGCCAGAGAAACAATGACTTACACTTTGTCTTTGTTAAAAGTTAGTGAGAGGAGAGAGAGTGAGACAGACATACACACACACACACACACACACCACGACACAACACACACACAACACACTGCCACACACACACACTACACTCACACACCACACACACAAACACACACACACACAACACGCACCACACACAACACACACACACACCACTCACACACACACACTACCAAACACACACCACACACACACACACACCCACCCTGCCAAATGCAAAGTCATGAAGATTGGGGAAGGGCAAAGAAGGACCGCAGACACAATATAGTATGAGATGGCCAAAAGATGCTCAAACCATCACTCAAGGATAAAAGATCTGGGGGTGAGTATAACACCGGAGCATATCTCCTGAGGCGCACATCAATCAGATAACTGCTGTCAGCATTACGGGGCCTGGCAAACTAACGGATAGCGTTCCGGATACCTCAGTAAGGATTCTCATTTTAGACTCTGGTATACCATTTTACGTCAGGCCCATACTGGAGTATGCAGCACTCAGTTGGGAATCCACAACTAGTCAAGCACGTCAAGAAATTAGAGAAAAGTGCATAGGTTTGCAACTAGACTAGTCCCAGAGGATACGGGGATTGTTCCTACGAAGAAAGTTGAGGGAAATCGTGCCTGGCCGAACTTGGAGGACAGGAGGGGGGTTTTTCAAAAAAGGGGGAGACATGATAATGACATATTAAAATACTCTGTCGCGGAATAGACGAGGGAGACAAGAACGGGGATGTTCCAGAGATGGGACACAGGGACCCACGAGGTCACAAATTGGAATGTTGAAAGACTCAGATGAATCAAAGGGGGGGGGGGGGGGATGTTAGGAAGTATGTCTTCAGTCATTAGAGTAGTCATGCCGGGAATAGCATAGAAAGTGACGTAGTGGAGGCGAGGAACCATACATAGGTTTTTTAGGCGAGGTATGATAAAGCTCATGGGCAGGGAGAGAGAGGACCTAGTAGCAATCAGTGAAGGAGGCGGGGCCAGGAGCTGTGTCTCGACCCCTGAAACCACAAATACTACCATCGGGAAACACCATAATAACCACACATGGGAAGCACCATAATACTACCATCGTCATGAGAAGCACCATAATACTACCATCATCATGGGAAGCACCATCATACTACCATCATCATGGGAAGCACCATAATACTACCAACGTCATGGGAAGCACCATAATACTACCATCTCATGGGAGCACCATAATACTACATCACATGGGAAGCACCATAATACTACCAACATCATGGGAAGCACCATAATACTACCATCGTCATGGGAAGCACCATAATACTACCATCATCATGGGAAGCACCATAGTGCTACCATCATCATGGGAAGCACCATAATACTACCATCATGGGAAGCACCATAATACTACCATCATGGGAAGCACCATAATACTACCATCATCATGGGAAGCACCATAATACTACCATCATGGGAAGCACCATAATACTACCATCATGGGAAGCACCATAATACTACCATCATCATGGGAAGCACCATAATACTACCATCATGGGAAGCACCATAATACTACCATCATGGGAAGCACCATAATACTACCATCATGGGAAGCACCATAATACTACCATCATGGGAAGCACCATAATACTACCATCATGGGAAGCACCATAATACTACCATCATGGTAAGCATCATAATACTACCATCATGGGAAGCACCATAATACTACCATCATGGGAAGCACCATAATACTACCATCATGGGAAGCACCATAATACTACCATCATGGGAAGCACCATAATACTACACATAACATCATGGGAAGCACCATAATACTACCACATCATGGGAAAGCACCATAATACTACCATCATGGGAAGCAACCATAATACTACACATCATGGGAAGCACCATAATACTACCATCATGGGAAGCACCATAATACTACCATCATGGGAAGCACCATAATACTACCATCATGGGAAGCACCATAATACTACCATCATGGGAAGCACCATAATACTACCATCATGGGAAGCACCATAATACTACCATCATGGGAAGCACCATAATACTACCATCATGGGAAGCACCATAATACTACCATCATGGGAAGCACCATAATACTACCATCATCATGGGAAGCACCATAATACTACCATCATGGGAAGCACCATAATACTACC